CATGTGGCTGTTGCTTCTTGCTATTGTTGCTGCAATGTGCACTTGCGGCTGCTTGTGGCTGGTGCGGCTGCTGTCTTTGCTCTTGCTATCCTTGCTGATGTTGTTGCTGTTCGCGAATGTTGTTGCCATTGTTGTTGGTTGCTTACAGCTTTGGTGGGAGGGGTTCCTATTGATAAATCAATTAATTGCCTCCCCAAGCCGCTGCCTGGGTTTCGTGATTAATCAGGGAAAGGGCATTCCAGTGACCGACACACCTCAAGGGGGTAACCACTGGAAGCGGCAACAAGACTGCCGAACCGGTAATTTAGGCTGAATCGGGAACCAAAAACACCGCGTCAGGGATCAAAAGCGCCGAAGGGCCAACCAAGAACGCTGCATCAGCAAAGGCACGGATTTGCAGCAAAAGCGCAGCATGAGCAACCAAAAGCACAGCACGTGTAAACAGCGAAATAACGCTGCACGGGCAGCCACAAGACCCTGGGGAAGGGGGTCGAGTGCCACTTGACTGTTCTATTTTCGGGGTTGGGCAGCTTGGGGTTGGACATAGTGTTGCATTTGCAAGGCGAACGAGGGGTTTTGAAAGGTCTCTGGAGTTTCTCTGTATCATTTCGTCTCGTGAGTTTCAATTAATTACAGGGTGCCAGATTGCTTCATGGATTTCCCTCTATCAAAATGTCCTTTCAACTGCAAGGCACGGGCAGCAGGCTGCAATATATATGCCCCTTGGAATTTCTTTGCGTCACCGCTTCTTACGCACTCTCATGGCAAGATGGGCTGGGGTGGAGAGTTTTCCATCTAGAGTTTCCTCTACCACATTGTCCTTTCAACTGCAAGGCGGGGAAGCGGGCAGCAAGGGGATGCAGTGGAGGCCGACCAGTATTACGCCTCCCAAAAAACAACTCTTTCGCCGCGCCTTTTTCCTGACCTTTCACGTGCACCAGGTTACTGAGATTTGCAACAGACGCTATCCAAATTCTGCAGGAAAGATTGTTCGGCCTAGCCATAAACCTTTTGCGAACCCTTTCGCAGCTCCTTTGCATGCTTTGGCGAGCAGCATCGAGCAGCATTTTAGCTTCATGCGTCCTCAAGGTTATAGCATCTTAAGCATGGGCTTTTGGACGACCCCCACATGTCTCTGGAATACTTCTGTTTCCAGCCCGCTGCGGCTCCCTCTACCCCGCGCAGGCTGCCTGCCTCTGCATACCCCGCGCCAGCGTCCCCTACGCCAACGGTTGCTTCTCCGTCCCAGCGACATCTGCCGCTCAACGGGCCTGCGCGCCGAGAAATCGGTTTGTTCCTTCGCAGGTGCTTGGCAGGAGAGCACCGGGACTCCTCCGGGAGACATCGGACTCCACTCCCATCTCGCTTTTGGGCGGTGCTTCGTGACTTTGAGGGCAACGACCTTCGTCCTTGCGTTGCGGTCTCTAGGTGGGCGACTGTGCTCAACTGCGCAAGCGAGGCTCTGACTTGGGCGATTCGATTTGCGTTGGCCTGCCTGCCCGTCAGGACGTGTTAGCTGTCGCTGCGGCTGGCGACCTTCCTTTGCCAGCGAACTGGTGAGATGGCCGACCTGGCTGACTTAGAGGGAGAACCTTTGGCTTTGAGGGACGTCCTTGCTACAGGTGAGGGTTTTGTGGGCCTGCAACGCCCGCTCCTTTTGCTTCATTGTGGGGTGGACGACGATGGACTGCCGCGCTGCCTAGCCGTGGGCGATGTAGCTGGGCAAGTCTTGCTTGCCCTCCCCACCTCTGCCTGGCATCGAAAGGTTGCAAAGAGAACTGTGCCGATAGGCTTTCTTGTCGTGTGTTTGCCGCAGAGGTCGCTGTGCGCTCACTGTCCGATCGGACCATGCCTCTTCCCGATCGTGTCAGATTATGCGCCTACCGTCTCGTTCGGAGAGATGGCGGACGAAGAACTGCTAGCGCCCACCGTCGAGGCCTTGGTTGCCTTGTTTCAAGCACAGGTTGCTGCCACTCCCCAGATCTTCCATTATTCCTTATTTAATTTAAGCATTAATTTTAAGGATTTATTATTCCTTAGTTAAGAAAGAATTTTAACTAATAATTCTTGTAACATAAAACAAAAATTCTTACTTAAATTTGGTCTCATAAATTGTAAAAAATCATCACGCACAGCATTGGCATCCATGGGCCTCACCAAAAATGTTTGCTGCATGGATTTGCCAGCCCATATCATGGCACAAAGTTCCTGGCAAGCCTTGCAGGCACATGATGTCCTGGCCTACTGTAAACAAAGCACATTTTTCTTGGACCTGCATTGCATGCATAGGGTGAGACAATAGGTGAGACAAGTTTTGAAAGATCTCCATCTGATCCTGCTGGCCCTCCAAATCTGGCACGTGAACCCCACGCATGTCCTAAGACTAAACCTATATATACCTATACACCCCTATGCATGCATGCATGTACATGGAAAAATGCACAAAATAACAAATCAAGTGAAAGCTGCAGAGAATCAGAATTCTGGGATCTTGTTCTGTGCTCGAAATTTTGTCAAGACATTTGCAGAAAGAGCGAATGCTTGATTCTTACCACCTCGCCTCACACTCATCCTGCCCACAGCGCCACCCCAATCCTCGTCATCGTAGGTCCAGTAGAGGCTGGGTGCACTCTCTGTGGACTCGCAGAGGTGTTGCCAGAGGTGGAACTTCGGTTTAAACCTCCAGCGACATGATTCCTGACCATGCACTTCAAGTGCTGTGTACAGCAAAAGAAATTTTCTGCAAGCATAAGATAAAATCTCAGGATTGAAGGTGGCAGTAGAGAGCTGGCCATAGCAAGTGTTCAGATGCTGGGCTGCCAATCTGCATGTGCCCTCCTCTGAGGAGGGATCAGCATCGCCAAATAATCGCTCTGTAATATCCACAGCCCATGGAATCAAAGATCGAATTTCAGCAGCCTTGCCTCGAAGTTTAGGGCTGGAAGAAGCCTTCTTTCTAATCATGAGCTTTGCTTGGTGATGCTTTGGAACTGGTTGGCAACTTGGTTCTGGACATACCACTGCTTGATGTCTCTCCAAACACTTGCAACTCGCTGCTCCTCTCTCTGTAGACCCACTGTTGTGCTTGCAAACCAGGAACAACAGGTTGCCAAGGAAATCTGCTCCTACTCCCAAATCACAGGCATGCAGCCAGTCCACCTCAAAGGTGGACAAGCCTACTCCTGGGCAAGCCATTAAAGGGCTCACCAGATTCTTTTTCTGCAGGATATGTTGCTGCAGCTCGAAACTTGTCCATGGGTGCCCCCTCCACTCTGCACTCAAAGAGCAAGACCTGATCTGGTCAAGTGAACACTTGCACTTGTAGCAGCAATGTCCTGCTGAGCTCCAGGATGGAAAGTGGAAGGTTTGCTTCAACGTGGCCCAGTCCCCTCTAACTTCAGCCAACAGACCCTGAGCTCCCAGGGACTGGCCTGCCATTTTTTTCTCCATGCATCTTGCAGGGGTGCACCTGTGTGATTTACTTGTGGGAAACATCCTTCGGCCATACAATGAAAGGACCACTGCATCACAGCCATAATGTCATGCACGGTTTGCCCATCCTTGCTGGCAAAAATCTTATTGACGCATGTCACTGGAAATCTCATTGTGGATGCAGCTGTCTGGTTGAGATGAGGCAGGTTCAAGGAAAACATCACTAGACTTTCAGATCTGTCGTACTTCACTGGCACACCATCGATCCAGAGGCCCCAAATCATTAAAGCTTCTGGGTTCAATCTCAGGGTCTCCACTGAGGAGGCCACCCTCTGCCTCACATCTGCTCTGATGCTTTGCCAGTTCAAAAGCCTGCCCCTTGCATCAAGGCCTTGATTCCATTTCAATACAGCCCATTGCAATTCATGCGGCAACATGATGGCCAGGGACTTCCTTGATGTAGTTTGTGTCTCTAGGTCGTACATGGCAATCTTGGCTGTATATGGCTTTGGCCATTTCACCTTCTTGGCCATCTTCCTCAACAAGTTGCGATGTACATTTTTGTCATCTGCCACATTGAGGTCAGCCACATGGTCTGCATTTGCATGAATAGCATCACTGAAAATGCTCCTGGCTCGTTTCGCAGAAACAGTACCACTCAAAAACAAATCTGAGATGTTGTTCCTGAAGTTCCTAGGATCCTCAGGCTTCCTTTTGGCAGTGGAAGGCTTGGAGAGCATGGCTATAGCAGCTCTAACATCCACTCTTTGAATTAAATATCATACTATCATGCCCTACCAAATGACCAAAATGATTTTGAGAAGGTTTGATTTTTGGTATGCAGGGTGGTGTAGACAAGGGAGTCTACAGGTCAGAATTTTTTAAAGCTTTCAATTTTTTACAACATGCATCATTCACCCAATTTTCCTACATTTTTAAAACATTGCATTAATGTTTTTTCTTTGCCTGCCAGGGCAAGGTGTATCCAGATTACAATTCTCAAAGCTGGGTTTAGGGAACTGCTTGCAGTATTGATTCTTGTGAGCCACAAGTCCTAGGCGAGTAAAGCTGTAGCAGCTGCACACACACGCCTGCCTTGGATGCTGCAAGGCGGAGATGCTGAGATAAGCTTGCAGGGAATTGCAATGCACAGACACTCTTTTTTGACTTCCCAGGCGGAGCGAACACATTCGAACTCGATCTTTGGAAAATCACAAGAGCCAGCAAGCTTACCCTGCAGGACTCACACCTGAACAAGAGCACTCAGGCGCACACGAAAGGACTTCATCCCCTCCAAATGAACTGCGGCGAAAGCACAGTGCTGCTTGAGGTCATCCAGCATCTTCTGCCAGTCCTCACCATCATGGGTGCCCTTGTCCATGCCACTGACAATGGACAGCTTCTTGCGAACTACCTCCACAAAGGTCTGCACCTCCTGCAGGTGCTTCTGGCCCTCGCTGACAATCTTCTCCAGCTCAGGCTGCTTCTTCTGGAGCTCCTCCCCATGGCAGAGCAAGTTCTTGAGGAGACCAATCTCCTTCTCAAGTCTGTCCTGGCCAGACTTCAGGACCTTGGCCTGGTTCTTCGCCTCCACCTTCTCGGGGTTCTCGATCTTAATCTCCACCTGGCCCATGGACCCTTCCTCCAGCATCTTCTGCAGCCCTGCCTGCTTCAGGTCAGTTGCCTGCTGGAAAATGGTCCTCTTGCCAGCGGTGACCTCATCCTGCACCTCGCTGTGGATGTAGTAGTAGGTGGAGAGGTTCACGCCAACACTGAAGCCATTCAAACTCAAAATGGCATCCCTGGTCACGAAGCCCTTCTTGTTGGTGGCCTTCTCCTGGTTGAGGGTCTCACTGGACTCCAAGTAAGTCGCCACCCAGCCCAGGTTGCGAATTCCACCCTTTTCCTGGTACTTCATGATCAGGTCATGCTTGCCATTCTGATCCTGGCTGCGGTAGGCCTGCCAGCAGGCAACAACAATGAATGAAAAAATGCACGCAGCCATGGTGCACAACAGGATGCAAGAAGGCAAACTGTACGTACACGGTTTTCTTTCTTGCCTGGCGCAGTCTTGTCATTCAGTGTGGGTGTGTTGCACACACACACACATGTGCAGCCAAATTAAAAGCATGCAAAAAACTCAGGCTCTGTGGCAAACTCTACACTCATGGTTTTCGCGCGGATACTGCTTCCAGGGCTTGTCCTTTCTGCCACACACATTGACCTGGCAAATGGTGCACAAGATGTTGCATCTTCGCCTCCTCTGAGGAGGTGGGCCAGGAAATGGAAGTGGTGGAGGCTGGGCCATTCCAATGTTGACTCCTGGACCTTGGGCAGCAGGCTGGCCAGCCTGGTGTAGAATCCTTGTCAGGCGAACAAGACCACCCCCTGGAAGTGCTCTGGCTGCCTGGTGGATCTGTCCATCATCATGGGCCAACAAATTGAGCAGCAAGTCCCTGCAGGTGGCCATATCACTTCCACTTATCTTCCCAAGCCTGTGTTTGAGCCTAAAACTATCCAGGCAAAACAAAATGAACAGGTGAGCATGGCCCCAAACCACTTCAGAAGCTTGCAGGCAAATCACAAACGCAGGTCAATCCTGCCTCCAACAACTTCTGTGCACTGCTGGCATCAGTTGCCTTGGGGTTGGTGGCCTTGTACTTCAAGGCTGTCAGGAAGCCAGCTGTCTGCTGCTTGGGCACAGCAGCTTGGCCTTGCACAGGCTTGGCCTTCTTGCCTGGGCTTTTCTGCACAGGCTACCTGAAAGCGGGAAACTCAAGTTGATGGTGAAGAAGCTGGTCGAGGAAAGTTTGTTGCCAACACATCCCAGGCAGGAAGTCACCAACCCTTTTTCTTCCTCCAGCTCAGTTGTATGTCTGCCTCTCTCACCACACTGCAGCCTCAGCAAACCAGAAAAGTCATAATAACATTCAGCCACACTCAGCAGACATGGCTAGGCGATGCTCAAGAATGAAACATGAACTCCCAAATAAATGATCTGGAGGCCTAGGGTTAAAAAAAACAAAGGTTAAAAATTTTACCCTTTTTTAACCCTACTTTTCCTTTTATTTTAAAGGAAAACCAAAGTTAAAAAAGGTTAAAAAATTTTAAACTTTTTAAACTCTGGTTTGCCCTCATGATTCCTTCAGGGCATGTTTTGAGACTCCTCGCAAACCTGCCTCATCAGCATGAATACCCCAACCCTGAACATAATTCCAGGACCCAGGCCCCCACACACCAGACCTCTCAATTGTCTGGTCTCCTCAGAGGAGACTTCTCACTTTAAAGTTCAGGGTTTAGGTTTGGAAAGTTAAGAGTGTAGAGTTTAGGGTTAAGGGTTTAGGGTTTAGGGTTTAGGGTGTACGGTTTAGGGTTTAGGGTTTAGGGTGTAAGGTTTAGGGTTTGGGGTTTAGGGTTTAGGGTTTAGGGGTTTTTCTTTTTCAATGACTGCACCTCCTCTGAGGAGATGCTGCCATTGGAAAACTGACAAGAAGCCAACCTGTGTTGCCCACTTGCTCCAAGAAGAAGACCACCTGCAGACAAGGGTTTTGGGTTTAGGGTCTGAGGCTTAGGGTTAAGGGTTTAGGGTGTAGCCTTGAGGGTTGAGGGTGAGGGCTTCAGGGTTCCAGTAGTCCAGGATTTTGGGACTGCTGCAGCTGCCCAGCTTATACACATATCTTGGGGGGTGGTGATTTTCAATGGCAGGACCTCCTCTGAGGAGGTCCTGCCATTAAGAATGTTAAGAGCAAGAGCGCACGCACAGGCAATCAGACACACAGCATGGCCAGTGCTGGCCTTCATCCAGTGGAGCATAGCAGTACCTGCCAAAGTATGACATGCTTGAATGTTTGGCCAACTTCCCAGTATCATTCCTTATGTTCATGACTACATAGCAAGGTATAGTATATATATATGTACCTATAAATATATATACATATATAGATATATACATGTTACATATATGTAAAAATACAGGTATTTATCCAAGCTGCAATCAAGAGAAGGTGGAAGGTGCACAGCTTGAGACATCCCCATTTGTACCTGGCCACAGGAAAACAACAACATGAGCAAAAACAGGCAAGCTGAAAAGAGCTCTCTCCACTGAGGAGGAACACACTTTTGCTGCACTTCATCACGAAGATTCGCCCTATGCCTCCACTGAGTAGGAGACCATACGCAGATACTATCTTGCTATATTATATATAGACACATGTTAAATTAAGCTTTAGGGGGCACAAAAACCTATCATTTACTCTAGGAAGAAGGGGTATGGTCTCCACTCAGGAGCCCTGGCTACTCTCTGCAGCAACCAGACCCTCAGCCACATCCATGGGCTCTCCCTCATCCGCCGGGCCTCCGCAGGCACCGCAGCAGGCACCTCTGCAGGCGCCTCAGCAGCCATTTCGGGAAGGTTGGCTCAGGCTCTGCGATGGGGAAGCAATGCGGTCTTGGAGCCACTGGAGCCTCTGCCTCCCTCTATTCTTCTTCTTGGACTTGCTAGTGATGTGTGCTGAAACCATCACCACCTCCTGCTCTTCCTCTGAACCCTCCACTCAGTCTCTTAGGTTTTGGAATCTCCACATCGCCCTCCACTGAGGAGGGCGCAGGGCTGGAGGGCATTGGTGGCATAGCAGCCTTGGGAACTGGAGCTGGCTCCACAGGCACCACCCTGGAAGGAGCAGCATCTGGGTGGGCCTCGGACTCGCTCTCCATCTCCTGCCTCACCTGCATCAGAGCATTGCGAAGCATGGAACACTCGGCCTGGTTCTGGGTATCTGACTTTCGCCAGTCCTTCCAGGACCATTCCTTTCCCTTTTTGCTGTCCTTACCACGAGCCCAGGGGCCAGGCTTCCTCTCACTGGGCCTCTGCTTGAGATAATAATAGTCACAGAGTGCATTTAAGCACCCTGTCTTTCTGAAATAGCTGCGGGCACCACAGCCACGCTTGCCCACACAGGTTCTGAGGTCGATGAGAGCCTCAGGCTTAGCCTCCTTGGAGTCTGCCACGCCTGTTGCCTGGCTGGAAGTTACAGGACCCTCACAAAAAGCTCGAACACTGAAAGGCTGCAGCAATCAGCAATCACAATTTCTTGTAGGCAGCATCTGTGCACACGCAGGCAAACTGTCTCACACCATGCTGAACTACAGCCTCCACTGAGGAGGCTTTCACTGTTGCACAAACAGAGCAGCAACTACTGCAGGGCACACCTTCTGCAACAGCATCCGAAGGCAGCCCCAATCCAGACCTCAGCCATACATGCAGCCACCCACTTCTAAAACTATTAGCAGCCACCTTCTTGCAATCAGTGAGGACTCTCCAGACATGTTCGCACAAAACAGAAACTGGGCCCCAAGCAGTAAACCATTTTTACTGCCATCTCACGCATGCCAAAAAACAACCCCCATGGATCAGCTTATACACATGTTCCTTCGGGGCCTTATATACATGCACATTCTATTGGGATAGGCCTTACATGTCTACAGTTTCCACTTGAAACTATAAAAGTGACTTCTTGGAAAAATTGAGAAAAAAAAGGTTTAGGGGCAAGAGGGTTTGGGGAAAGGCGCGCAACTCTGGAGGCTTGGACCAGCAAGCAAGAACATGCATCAAAACAATTGCTTGCAAAACATAACATGAAAACGCTGTGCTCATCTGCACGCAGGGCATGAAAACATGTTCCCCTCATGTGGATGCCAAGATGTCCATTGACGAAGTGAAACTGATGTAACTTCTTGCCAGGCCCCAGTTGCAAATAAAACAGACACACAAGTAATTTTTGACTCCTAAAAGACAAATAATACAAATTCGCACACTGCAATTTTCAAATCCTCATCCAACAGCCTTGGCAAAACAGATTCACTTGGGGTTCAGTAGAGCTTCCAGGGAAGCTTTGGCATCCTGTTCGCGCAACTCCTGTCGAAACAGCTGCCCAGCCACATCCTTGCCTTTGGCATAGCTATCATCCTTGTTCAAGGAGGTCCTCACATCGAAGAGCTGCCTGCGAAGCATCTTCTTTCTACCTTTCCAAAATTTGCACATGCCGACTTTCTCCTTCTTGCCATAGTACACGGGGGCATAGCGAACCACATCCCCAGAGTCCTGCGAAGGCTCAGGGATCTCATCCACCTCTGGATCTTCAGGCCCTGCAGGCTTCTTCATCAACATCTTCCTGCTTTTCGCTTTGGCCTTGGCCTTGCCCTTGGGGGCAGCAGCAGGCCTCTTCACGCCCGGCTTCTTCTGGACTGCGCCTTCCCCGGATGCCCTTTTCTTTTTGGCTTCCAAGGACTGCTTCCAGAGCATAACAGGAACCTCTGTCTGCTGGGGCTGCCCAGATCCATAGGACGCATACATGAATCCGTCCTTGCCTGCAGTCATCTTGGCCTCCACAATCCGACCCTTGACAGTCTTCACCCTACATGCCCTGTTGGCATCATAGCCCCCCAAACTCTCCTGCCCAGTGCTGCTTGCGCTTGCAGAAGAGCCCCTCACCTTGGCTGGAGATATCTCCACCAGATCCTCCACTGAGGCAGCCTCCAATCCCTTCTCCACTGAGGAGGAGGTTGAGCTGATCTCCTCAACATTGGCCACTACCTGGCCCTTCTCCAGGCCATAGCTTGCAGCCAAGCTAGCAAGTCGGGCTTCGAAGTCCCTGACTGGGCATTGCTGGTCTCTGCAGCAACCGGTGCTCTCTTCAGCTGCTGCCCCTTCAAAAATCGGCCATGTGATGGCACATTGGCCTGTTTCCTCTGGCTGGGCCCAAGAAGCACCAGTACCAATCTTCTTAAGGCATCTGGCTTCAACTTCTTCCCACTGAGGACTTGACCTTTTTTTTGCCAAACCACGCTGCAGGCACCAGCTACAACCTGAGAAAAAGACACAGCCACCTCGCTGGACAGGTCCTGGAACGCAGCATTGCACCCTTCCTGTATTAACCCTGCAGTCACTCGAGGAGTGGCCAGAAGCAACTCTCTGATTAGCAGCTCATGGGTTTGCAGGAAAGCAAT